TCATCCACTAGCCATTAAAACACAACCTAGTTTGACGCACCAAAGCTCAGCTGTTTCTGGTGGTGTATATCCTATTTAGACCTTATCCATTTTATCTTATTATACGTCCGATTTTAACGTTTGTCAAATTTCAGCAACATTAACAAAGTTTCAACAAAAAAGTAAAAAGAATATTAAAATTATTTAACACATGTCAAAATCACATTAATTGTAAGAAGGAACTCCTCCTCAATTGTAAGGAGCCAAGCTTTTTCATTATATTTTTACTTTTATTCTTCTCTTGAAAAGGAAAAAAAAACCTAAAAAGGAGGTGTGATTTATGGGCCTTTTGAACCGGCCTCATAGGCCTCTGGGTTGCATTAGATCGAACTCAGCCCTCTCTTTTTGGCTGGGCTGAATAAGAGGCAGCCTTAAGGTCCATCATTTTTATTGTTTTCTTTCTGGGAATGGGAGGCTGCTCAGCTTTCACTGCTCTATCCCTTCTCCTAATGAAATATCTATCTATCTATCTATCTATCTATCTATCTCTATCTGTAAATGTACTTCATCATATACAAAAACAAACACAATGGATGTAACCTCATTATGGGTAAACCACTCAAATTCGTGTCTATGTATGTGCGACAGGGGCAATTGTGATTTTATCGTCTAGCGGTGTGGATCAACAATTCGTTATGATTGTCTTCGGTTCCCAAATTTTCCTTCTTCAATAACTTGTAAAATCCGTTATGATTTACGGAATTTAAGAATCTGATAAGGATGCGTCTCGAATTTTCCACACGCATGTAGATACACACCAACATTTGTCCAATATAAAATACTTTTTTTTTAATACGAGCAATAAATTACTCTAAATTAATCTAATGTATGGAATATGTATTCAACTTGAGTACAAGATGTGCAGACTCACTACCCTAACCAAACTGACCTAACCCACATTTTAAGCTTAAGGGCCCAAGAATAAATATGTGCATATGAAATTTCTTTGAAGAATAGATGCAGTTACCAATTCTATGAGAATTATCATGGACACCTTTCATTTGCTTCTTTTTTATATAAGTTTTATTTTCCCAAAATGTCTCATAATTTCTGGCATAATTCTTCTTCTGATGATCAATTCAACTTCTGATAAAAATAAAAATAAAGAGATATACATTGATTATATTTAATCTCTTCAACAAGTTTATTAATCCTAAAGTGGACAATATCTACTACAATATAAAATACCTTGAAATCTAAGGATGTGGAGTAATGTACAATGACCATACTATCCTCGATTCTTTCTATCTATAAAATACTTTTGCCAGAATAGTTGGAATATATCGGACATTTTATTGACACCTCTTTATTTATTTATTTTTATAGAATATTAACGTTATCCCCATTTCATATCATACAAGTTTTCGTGCATTTGAAGAGTCATTTCAACAACGAGAGTAGGACCATTTGATGGTTACCCTAGAAGCGACACATTTACTTAAATAATTATCAATTAGCCAGATTTGAAGATGCCTACTTTCGTCCTCTTTATTAATTGTCTTGGCCTTTCTAATTAATTATTATTATTGTTCTAGCTACCCTCTGTCCTTTACTTAATAGGTGCAATGTTCATATTACGTGGCTACTAACTCATAATTAAATTAGTAGTTTGTTTAATTAATTACGTCATATATAATTGTCCTCCCTAGCTTCTTTTGCTCTCTTGCTGCCCAATAAAAAATAAAAAATAAAAAGAATTAAATTAGTGGATATATATGAGAGCAGGTATTCCAATATGATGGCTTAGTTCATAACCACCAGCAGCTCTGGCTTAGTTCTCTAATTGAGATTAATGGTGATGGTACCACTGCTTTCTTTGCATATTCCTTTTCAGTGAACTGATAAGATTTTCCTGGCAGAGATTGTGGCCAGCCACAGCCCAAGCCAAAAGCCAAAAGCCAAAAGCCTTGAGGTCTTTCATTGCCACTGAAGGGATTCTAACATCCATGTGCATTAATAATATTTATGATCTTTCCCCACAAATGTACAAATATGAATCTCTTTATCTTTTTCTAAAGATTCTTAATTTTTTTTTGGTTTTAAATGTTGGTTGATGGTGGTGCTGTCCACAGAAGTGCACTTCCTTCCAATCCATCTTTTATTTTCTTTCTTTGTTTGCTAATCTATGTTGAAATAGACTTGGAATTTTGAGTGCTCTCCTAGCTACTATCACTCTCTTATCTTCCCGTACAAAATGAAGTGAAAGTTACTTGATTATTAACCACCTTTTTCATCACCCTTGTTTTTTATAGAAAGAAAGGAAATCTCTTTCTGTTTTTGGTCGATTAATCGGAAGCAATTGTTACAACAAAGTCAACAAATAACACAATTCTTAGCTATCACTCTCTTGTCTTTCCCTATAAAATGAAGTGAAAGTTACTTCAGTAATTAAGCGCGTTTTCCATTCTTATCACCCTTTTTTCTATAGAAAGATAAGGAATCTCATTAATCGGAAGCAATGGTTACGACAACATCATTATTAATACACCACTTCTAACTACCCTCTCTTATCGTACCCTATAAAATAAAGTGAAAGTTACTTGATTAATTAAGCACCTTTCCATTCTCATCACCTTTTTTAATATAGAAAGAAGAAAAAATCTCATCAATCCGAAGCAATGGTTACAACAAAGTCATTAGTAATCCAATTCATAGCCACTTTGACCTTCTTCTAATCAATAAAAAGGACTATGTTCATGCAAATTAAAAAGGGCAAGAGCATAAGCCACTTGGTTACACTCTCTCTAGAAGACTCACTAGTCAGAATGCTGCTCATATCGGCATAAAAAATTACCATCACCCTTGATTATTGTCACAAAGCTAATTATGATACCCAACTAAATATGAAAACATATATATATATATATGATTTTACGGTGTTCTTATTTTATGGAGAAAAAGACTACTATAACCTTATCTCAATCCATGTAAAAGGGATAATGGCCTTTATCCATTTTGAATTATTTGACCCTATAACCTCTTCTTTTTTCCCTTTTGCCCTTTGAATTTATGGCAAACTAGTATTATCACTAAAGATAAATCGTTCATTATCGTAATGAATGTTGAATTATCTTTGTTCCTTTTATGACAATACATGCATCATTATCATAATAATGATTGCACGAATTAGTAATCCAAATTCCAATGGTGATTAGAAGTCTCATAGTACGGATGCAAAATTGTGGTCCTTATCAAACTCATTATCTATGCAGCAAAGAGAGAGGCCAATTAGAGGAGCCATCCTTCATGGATGGATGTAGTGGCGGAGCTAGTAGCTTGTTTTTAGGGGGGCCAGCACCGTAGTTTTTAAGTTTTATAGTTCAATTATGCTTCTTGTTTTATAGTTAAAGTTTAGCTAAAAGTACACATAAGTTAATTTAGGAGCTCTTTATAAAATTTGAACTATAATCATATTCCATAATTTAAAGAGTCATAAATACTATAATTATTTTTTAATTCAATATAATTGGTCCATCTCTATACCAAAAAAATAAAAAATAGTTTGCATGAATTAAAGTTTAAAATATGCATAAAAGAAAGCAACATTAAATTATAGGGAGCCACTAGGAGTTTTTTTTTTTCATCAGATTTAGGAGCTCTTAGAGGTATCCTTATTTTAGGAGGTGAATAGGGAGCATGGTTGAAATTGTATTTTTCTAATTCCTCTCTAAAATTTGTTTAAAGAGGTGGTTTAGTGAGCCCATTGTGGATGCTCTTATATTTCAACTAATATTGCAGCATGTGTTTAAGAGTTATTAGCCATAGAGCTTAGGGGCCACGACCACTACAGGCTTGTATGTGGCTCCACCCCTAGACGGATGAGAGGTGGAATTTTATAGTAAGAGTGTCATATATGGACCTCTCATGTGGACCTTCATATTAACCACATGATCATTTTATTAAACTTAAGTGAAGTTACTATTCAGATGAATCGTATGACTAATATAAAGGTCAAAATCTGTGATCTATATATGACACTTTCACTATAAAACGACTCGAGATGATAGGGAGGGAGGAGCAAAACTTTACATGGGCCTTCTGTCTTTGTCAAGTACACATCAAAGCTACGAACCCACCAAAATATCATGAACCAAAAACCCCCCACCAAAAGGCCCATAAGAGAAAGAACGGACAAAAGCTAGAAGAAGAAAAAAAAATATCATCAAAATCCCGTGCTCATTTCATTATGGACCATGTGATGAGTGAAGCAAAGCAATAGCTAGCTAGCCCCCTTTGAGTATTTGATAATGATATTGCTTCAAAGGGTAGGTTGGTCATTGTATGTTGCTGCTGCCTTTGTGACAATCGTCCTCCACCACTCCTTGTAAGAGAGGCAGATAAAATTGGAAGAACCACGGTGGTGGTTGTAGAAATCACAACCGTATTTCATTTGGGACCAGCATAGGTGTAATTACAAGGCTAAAGCCTCACCTTTTGGTAGTTAATGATGTTTTTGGAACCCTAAAAAGGATTTCTTTTTCCACAGTCGCATTCATATTCACTTTCAAAAACATATAATGACATATCAAACTGTTTGACAATAAAATATTTCACTAATGTTATTATTATTTTTTATTTGCTTTTACGTGACAATTGAGATCTTTCTTTGTTCGGTGAGTATATATGTACGACATACATACTCAACATATACAGTAGAAGAATTAAAACGATGCAAAAGGGGGGCGGGGGGGTTATTTTTCTTATCATAATTTTCACTTTTCTTGGCCCAGAGGGCGTTTTGATTTGTTATATCCAATTAATCATGCATCTAGTTAGTACCGATGGCCCCATCCCACAACATCACAATCACTTGGCGCACAGGGCAGTGTAAATTAAATGCACTTTTAACTTGTAAGGCAAGGGCACAACAGTCATTTCATGGGCCACTATAAACTTATAATCTAAGGCCAAGGCTTAAGACGAACTAAATTATAAATGTGACACTCCCATCCAAAGTGTACATGGAGATGGAGCAAACACCATACACTGAGGATGACCTGAGCACCACCTCCACCTCCACCACAACCACTACCCAGAAATCTGACTCGCAACAAGCCGCCACCCGCCACCCAGTGTACCGAGGCGTGCGGAAGCGACGGTGGGGCAAATGGGTGTCTGAAATTAGGGAGCCACGAAAGAAATCACGCATTTGGCTAGGGTCTTTCCCTGTGCCTGAGATGGCAGCCAAGGCCTACGACGTCGCCGCCTACTGCTTGAAAGGCCAGAAAGCGCAGCTGAATTTCCCCGAAGACGTCGAGCACTTGCCTAGGCCCTCCACGTGTACGGCTAGGGACATTCAGGCAGCAGCAGCTAAAGCAGCACATACAATGAAGTCACATAGTACTACTCCCAAGGAAAACGATCATCATCATCATCACCATGATCATGATGGATTGGACGGTGATGATGATTTTTGGGGTGAGATTGAGCTGCCTGAGCTGATGAATAGTGGGTGCCACTGGAATTCATCATGTGGTTGGAATACGACTGCGTCTTCAGGCGACGCAGCAGCATGGCCGGAAGGAGAGGCTCCACAACAATTTATAGGGATGGTGCTTGTCTCTGATTAAGAATTGTGTTGTGGTTGGTATGGTCCATTTATGTGTACCAATTAAGTTAGGTAGACAGCTTTGTGTGTTTCACTCTATCTTGTGCTTATTTGTTGTGTAGTTCCTCAAGTTCCAATAAATCCACGCATAAATTTGAACTTAATTACTTTCTATGTGGATTTGCAGACGTGAATTAGGAGTTGATCATCGCATTTTGCTTCTCCTACTCGAATTCAATCCCCCTTATTACAGTAGTTTAGTTAGACTGACGTTCAAAAAAATAAAAATAAATTATCAAACGTAATTATCAGATATATATGACAAACTCTTATGCATGCATCTCAGCTATTAATTAGTTGGTTTTTGATGAGTTTCAACTTTCAACGAGTTGGCTATCACAAAAAGCTTTTCATCATCACAATCATGAAGAGATTTTAAGCGATCCGTGAAGTTTGACTTAAATGAATTAAGTCATAACTTTAAGCTCATAAAATCAAATTGACATTATGGAAAAACACATGCTAATTAACGAGGAAAAGAATATTGGTCAACAAATCATAAGCATATGTTTTTTCTATACTTAGAGCAAAGGTAAGAATTAATGTCCACAACATCAGAGGTTAGACTGGGCAAGAACGGGCCCATTTACCCGGGCCAGTTCAAAGGCAAGAATTGTCTGGGCTGTTGTTTGGGTTTGCTGACATCAGCGTGACATCATCGACCAATTTGAATACCCAAATTTTTTTTTTAAAATACCAACAAATTCAGATCATTATTTTTATATAAATACTTAGCCATGTTTTTCACTTCCTACGCCAAAACTCCATACAAATTCCTCTTCTCATATCTTATGTGAATAATATTTGTCTTTACTTATCATGGCAATTGTTGGGAAAGCAAAATTTAAAAGACACTATTCACATGAATAGTGTATGCTCTTATTTGTCATTACCCTTTGCCATGACACAATGGATGTAAGTGCTCTTACCGGTCAAAATATATAGTAGGAAGCCACTCTGTGAGTGAAAGGGCTAAGGAAAAGAATTGGTCGACAAATCATTAGGACTTTGGAAGTCGATTGAATAATTCAAGGCATGGATTGATATTGTTCTTGTTTAAATATACCAAATTTTGGATATTAGCCAAACTCACCATATAGCTTCAGTTCTAAATTAGGCCCGTAATTTTAGCCGATTGATGGTTACTTGCAGATGAGGATTTTGATCAAACACATATATATCAGGGGAAATGTTAAAGTAGGCCCCTTAAATTTGACCTTTCTTAAGAATAAAAAAATAACTATGACCAAATTCAAACTATCAATTTAGAACACATCAAGCTCAAATTGATCATATATACCAACAGTTGAAGACTGCCAATTGAATGTAACATTCATATTGGAACCTTCTTCAACTACCTAGCATTGGCTGTGATGAAGCGCCAGTGCCATGCATGCCTACTTGAGAGACAAAGACTAAAGTAGATATTTTAGGTGAAATAGAGAAGACAAAGAGAGATAAAACTAGCACTTTGAGGCCATTATCAATGCACCTGCATATGAAATGCAATAAAGAAGAAGAAGAAAATAAGTTATTATTGTTCGGACATCGGTGTCGGTGTAAACAAATAGAAAAATAGAAACTATATGACGTCCACACAGTAATAACATCCGGACATTTGCATATATATACATACCAATGAGGTGTCACCAGCCCTGTAAAAAGAGAACTAAAAGTTAATAATTTGATTCTTCAATTACCCTTTACTGTAAATTGCATATATGACGAGTCCAAATTTGGACCACAAAGCTTTTGTTATATCTTGCCCGCAATGTGTGCAAGCTTTGTTCTGTAGTGTCAATTTCTCTCTGGTTTTTTCTCCTTTTTTGGAGCTTATAATTTGAAGCTCAAATTGGGTTCATTTCCAAATTTCCAGTAAGTCTGGTCTGCTACATATGCATACACAATCCCATATCTTTAAAGAGCCATGGAAGCAACAAATATTGCAGATGAGATCAAAAGGCCACTTGGGGAGATTTTTGGCATACGCATGAATTGGAACTTTGAGATTTTAACACGAGGGATTTCTGCCATGAATTATATGGGACAATTCTTTCAGTGGTGGGACCGTTGCAGGCAGAATATCACTGTTGCATACAACTACAAAGAAGTTTGAAAACACCATGCACGGCTCTGAATCAAAACAAATAAAAATCACAAGTTGCTTGCAATTTGTGGAGCCGTCATACGATAACATATGAACAACGTGTCACCAATCACCTCATCCTATTTTACTGCTGCAGCATATGACCAAAATGCAGAGATATTTGATTTAGAATTTGCATTTCTTTTTACAGCAGTGACAGTTTGACCACAGGAAACAGTAACTTTTTTTTGCTCAACTATAATATAAGAAACGACAATCAACCGTTGTGTTGAACCACTGTGTCTGTAAGAATCATATGCTTGGAATAGAACTGCTGTAGAATAACGCTTTAGTTTTGGCCTTATTTTAGGTATAAATTTGTGACGCGGTATTGTGATCCGTGGCTTATCCATGGTTCTCCGGTGGCCAATCCCTATTGGCCACGGTTATATAGTGGCTTTTGCTATTGCTTGCCACAGATCTTTCGTGGCCCTTTTTGAGGTTGTCTAGTAGTGATTAGGCTTAAATGAAGAGATAAAAAAGAAAAAGAAATAAAATCCCAAGAACATGTTAAAACAGAAGCTGGGGTTGGGTGGGCGGAGGGATGGTACTATATTAATGACTTTGTTCTGTTGGGTAGCTCCAGATTGTTGTTTTGCTATTTCAGACCACAGAAGCGGATACCAAATGTAACACGTGAGAGAAAAATTCAAAGAAAGATGTGGAGGGAAATTCACTGACTAATTCAGGGGGTCTTGTCAGAGTTTCAATTTTAAGCATGGCCAGAGGGACAAGGAAAGGTATATTGTGCCTGTCCCGTATTTTTGTTGAATGGGATAGCAGCATGTTAAGTGTTGTTACTTCATTGGTTATTAGGATTTCAATCAAGCGAAATCATTGAGATCTCTCTGTGAAGGATGCTTTGCTTAGAAGAAGCTACTGTCAATATCATTTTGATGCATCAGTAGAGGATTGTTTTCTATTTCATTTTTCAGTATTGTAAGGAGGTTTTATAGAGAGAGGAAGCGAAAGCGAAACTCTTTATCGAGAATGCAAAGAGTAAGTACTTTACCACTAAAGTTATAATCGTGTTTTCAAGTAAAAATGGAAGTTAAACAATACTCCAACTCTAGAGTTACTATTTTACGGATACTCAACACCTAAATTTTGCACAAAACCACCTAGGGTTGGCTGGCAACCTATAGTTTTCTTTTTTAGTTTTTTCCCTTAGGTTTTGTGATGATAGGTACAAAATTGGAAATTTCAGAGAAGAGAATTGGAGGTTGGGTGTCTAGAGAGCACCATAGATGATTGTGTGTTCATGGAATCACTCCTCTGTCAAGTTGGAAAGATTTTTGGGTCATTTCAAAAGAGCCAAATAATGAGCCCAATCTCAGGCATGGCTTGTTTGCTTCCATGAATCCAAAGCTCAGCCACAATGTAAAGATATTAGCCCATTCAGGAGGATCAAAAGTTATAAGCCTTGTGTAATGCCTGGATATTATAATTAGGACCAACCCAATCTTGCAACTCAAGGGTTTTATCTAAATCCCTTAGATGAAGCCCTATCTCTTAATCATTGAATTACACAAACTAATTTGATCCAATGATTAAGAGATAAGACCTCATCTAAAGGTGCCCAAACTATAGAATTCTACTCTTGTATATATGGTTTGTTTCAGATTTGTCAATTCAAACATGCAAAAGAAGAAGGGGTTTTTGTGCATTTATTTAGGGCCATTGGGCTTTTAGGGCTGCAAAGCATAGAGAACCCTTTTAAGTGCAAGAGTTATTTTGGCATCTCTAGAAGAGATTTTAAAGTTCAAAATTCTCCTATTATGAAATAAAACAGAATCTATTTATTTATTAGTTAATTATCTAGACATATATATGATATATCTCATGAATCACAAATTCAAGATTAGTATAACCAAATGATCACTCATATGGCTTTCTAAATAGGCTTAATTGTTGATTTGACCTTGAACTTGTAGCTAATTTTCATTTTACTTCTTTTACTTTAAAAAAAAAGAAAATTTAAGTTATTATTTTTTTTTATTTCTTTTTTTTCTGCCAATTTCCCCCTTGTGTGTTGTGTGAATCCTAAACATTTCTTCATAAATTTAAATCTTTTAATTTTTTTTTTTTTTTTTTTTTTTTTTTTTTTGTTTTTGGAAGAAGAAAGAGGAAAACAAATTCTTGGGACCCACTGAACCAAACCTCGCGCCAACCCCCCCTCCCCCAACCCAAATAACCTAGACCTCCTTCCTCTTTTGTCTCCCCCCATCCCTTCCCCCTCCTCCTCATCCTCCTCTTCCATCTCCCCCACCCTCCCCGTCTAATCTCTCTGTCACCACCCTCAACACGCGCTCTCTCTCTCTCTCTCTCTCTCTCTTTCTCTCATGAAACCCCATCAACCATAGACCCTATCTCGATGCACCCCCTTCCTCTGTTTTTCTTTCTACCCAGACCACCCCCAAGCCCAATGCCACCATACAACCACCCCCATTTCCATCCCCAGCCCCAACCTAGACCCATCCCCTATCCCTTGCCCTTTTCTCCCAGAGATCTACCCCCAGACCCTCCCCTCCCCTCCCCTCTGATCCATGTTCCCACACCACACACGTACATACACGCAACAAAAAAAAAAAAAAAAAAAAAAAAAAAAAAAAAAAAAAAAAAGAAAAAATATATTTCAATTTTTAAAAGTTTTTATTTTATTTTAACATATGAAATGACCATTTTGCCCTCATATTTAATGGCAAAGTGAATGAAATCTTGTGGATATAGACGGCGAGGGAAAATTGGCAAAAAAAGAAGTTCATATCTTTAATTTTCTAAAAAGAAGTATATGAGGTAAATTGAAAGTTATGTAC